CCGCTGGGGAGGGGAGGGGAGCTGGATCCCCAGGGGAACGATCCCCTCCGCCGAACCCCGCCATGACAGAGGGGAGGGGAGCGATCCCCTCCCCTGCACCTAAGCGGGGATGATGTGAATGGTTTCAGAGGTATTGATCGAGCGAACCCCAGTGCATACGGGGTTCGAATGGGGGAGGGGATCCCTTCCCTTCCCCCACTCGAACCCCGTATGCGCGAATTCAACTCAATAACGCGGGGGAGGGGATCGACATCCCCTGCAACGAAGTAGGGGTTCGATGGTGTAGATCATGCCAGAGACGCGGATATTCTGATTCTGCTCAGTCATTACCAAGCATTTCGTTCATTTTGACGGAGGATTTTCTTTGAAAGCCGGGTTCTTCTCTCAGCGACCTGTGGCTTGCAATTTGTCTTTCTTTTCTATATTCGCCTCTTGAGAAGGAATCCGAGCAATAATAGCAGCCAGTTTCGATTATTTGTAGGAGTTCTTGATCATTCAGAAAATTTGCGCATTTTTCATATAACATAATAGTTTTAACTATATAGGCTGAGTAAACACTTTGTAACTTTCATAATTCATGACATGTTGCCATTATCTTGTTATTTTAACATAAGCTGCCTCGAAAAAATCTAGAAAGTAGCACATTTGCCTATTTCTGAGTAGAAATCCCCTGGGGAGTGATCCCCTCCCCAGCGTTCCCCTTGTGCATAGCAGGGATGGCCGCTGGGGATCATTCCCCTGGGATGAAGGACGATATGCTGCTGATAGCTACAGCGTTTATGGAGAACTGGCACAATTTGCCGCTTCTGTTATGTGTTAGAATATTGCTTTGAGCGTCCGCGCGGCACCCCCCCCCCTTTTCGGCAGCATAATGTCTTCTACCCATTCCCTTGCAGAGACACATCAACTTCTATAGTTCAACATTTTTACGCTGAAATGGGGCAGCATGAGCGAAAGTGGGCAGCATCCAAGAAAGCAGGAACATAATGGGAGTAGAAAAAATCATTTTTAGTGCCCCGAGCGCAGTCACTGCATACGCGCATTCCGCAACCCTAAATTATTGAAAGTGATGAGATGAAGATAAGTTGCAGTCAAAATATGAAATAAGAAAGATTTTTTTATAGAAAATTTGAAAGCAAGGTGGTTTCCCCGCTTGATCCCCTCTTGTGCATAAGGGGGTTCACTTCCCCTCCCCACAGGGGATCCCTTGTCCGATATTGTCTTTGTGCATACGGGGGTTCGCGCGGGGAGGGGAAGGGATCCCCAGCGGGGATCATTTCAATGGTTAAGCGCACATCCCCTCCCCGCGGGGATGTACGTGCATACGGGCCTTAGTTCTGCATTGCCTCAAGCAATCTTCTTTTTAAAGGTTAGGCATCCTCGAGGTAAATGCATGCCCTTACTCGAAAAAACCAAAGAAGAGTCATTTTTATATGAGTTCTTCCTATATTTATTCTGCAAGGTGCTTACAGAAACGAAAATAAACGGAAAATCGTGTTAAACACAGTGATGGAAATCTATGACAAAGGTTTAAAGCATAAGAGATGCTCGCAGTGAGCGCACCGGATAAAGAATAAGTCGTTGCAGTTGGCTTTCTCGCACTCACCCAGCAATTCACGCGAAAAGATTGTACTGGGGTTTGAAATTGACCAGGATGCTCATCAAGGCAGCCTGCGGCATACCACGGGTTTTGTTCGAAATTATTCTAATAATGATTAATAGATATATTTTAGGCAAACAGCAATTATTTCTCCGAATTTTTCATCTTTTTTGAAGAGGAACGGCATGCGTTTACCTCGAGGATCCCTAACTTTTGAAAAAAAGATTAATTGAGGCAATGCAAAACTAAAAAACACAAAAGGATTGGAACCTAGACCCGCATCAACTTAAGAGGTTATCTCTTTAATTACTATACCACAGCACCAAGCAGAAGTATCTGGCACTCCGATCGTATTTCAATCGGACGGCCAAACTTGTCTCGAAAATCCTCCATAACTCTCTTCAGAGAAACGATCAGCAGAAACGGAAGTCAGATTCGGAATCAGCGTTGTGAGACAAGTATAATGATGTACATCTCATCTCAAAAGGCCACGAACACTAAGTATCGTTCCCTTATTAGCATGCCGCTTGATACCCGCAATCTGGCCCCCAATCAAGCCGACCAACGATTGCGCAAACGGCCGTAATGGCTCAATGGCGGATTACGGATAACACTCTGCACGCGATGCTGACCGTAGCTGTACATTCTACCTATTAGTGTTTGTCCTTGCCCAAGGCTATCCGTGACTCCAATTTACAGAAATGCTTCGTAAGGGGAACGACGTTTCCTGAAGGATTCACCCTTTGCTTCAACCAGAATGGCTGCTGGAAGGCGGGGCTTCATGACCTGAGAGGCGACTGCTCGAGTCCACAACGCAGTCTGCGCCTCCCTCGCGAACAGCCCTCTGATCATTTTCTAGTCTCAATTAGGTCACGGAACCCCCTTCCAGCCGAAGGTCTGGTTGAAGCAAAGTGTAGTTGAATTTTGTCATGCATTTTTCGTTACAATGACTTTGGTCCTTTTCGTCGTATTCTTTGGTTCTGTTATGTCCAAACTTTCTGACAAGGAAAGGTAAAAAATCGTAGGCCAGAGTGTTTTTCTACATCACTTAAGACTTGTAGAAAAGTCAACAATATTTTTCAAAGCAAGTGAGTCGAAAATGCATGATAAAACTTGTCGGAGGCAAATGGTTGAAGGCATCATAATGGAAATGGCACTCCAGAAAAACAAACTAAATCCTGTACAAAAATCGAAGGAAGACAGTTCCAACTGTGACCAACAATCTCTTAACAAAATAATTTTTGCAGGTAGGGTAGATTATTTGAGATTTGAACTGTTTGATACAAAGGTATGGGCACTTATTTGCGTCATATTTCATTTAGACACTGTGCATATCGGGCGAGTTTTATGTTAATGTAACTCCGCATTTGGCATTATGGCTCAGTACAAAGTAGTATTTTATTTTGGGTAAAGATAATATTCTACAACGAATACCTAATTTCATGACTACAAGACGCATTTTTTTCTTCTATACTCGACCATCCTGAACACAACAAAGAATTTCGTGACCAAACGATCTTATACCGTGTAGAGCAAATCACGTAACCATTTTCGCAGAAGCAGCGCCAATATCAACAAGAAATCGATCACTTAAAGCGAGAGATCGAACGGCAGAAACAAGACAAGAAAAGGTTGTGCGAGGAAAATGAGCGATTCAAAAGGCATCTGCAAACAAACCACCCACCGAAAAACGCTCACACGAGTGAAGGAAAATGGGAAAGGGACACATGTCGACTCTTCCCGATCAGTATCAAGGACTCCCGGTCAAAACCCATAAAATAGGACCGGAAAGTTGAGAGGAAAGACTCGAGCGCGAAATAGTCGAGATGGAGAGAACATTGCAAGAGGTGTCCTTCCCGGAAAACAAGACAAACAAACCTTAGGGTGAAAAGAAGTTCAATGGCTTTCTGCAATGAAATCAGCGAATATTTCTCAGATTCCTGCCCACATTACGTCAACATAAACAGGAGACTAGAAATAGCCCGTCAGAAAGGACTGTCCAGCTTTTATCTTAAAGATTGTCCTCCCGACAAGGAGTGCGCTTACGCAGCAAGGAAATGTTGGTACTGCAAAAGATTGAAAAAAACCGTTTTCGGCGACCTCATTCCAAGAGATGTTGAACACCATTGCGCGCTCTGCAATGTTCCGCACATGAGGCCACGGGCAAAGCAGAGAATTCTCGTCGTCAAACAAGCACTGAACAATCATCGCAGACTAACTCAGTAATGGCGTGGGGAGTGTCGACGACGATGACCAAGTGAATATCACACCATGTAAATATATGTAAAAATCCCTTGTGTTTGTTTGACCATATCAAGTTACTTATTTAATGAAGCATTTGGTATTGTACAGTTTTCTCAAGTCAAGTTTTGTTTTGCCTTTCGTTACCTTTATCATATGACTCAAATTTATTTCCCCTTGAAACATATGTGAGAGCTAAGTTTTATCAGATCTGTGCTTGTATAAAAAGAGCCCAAATCGCCGTATGAGCATGCATCCAACTCAAGTTTCGCTCCATCCCCTCAGGCGCAAGTTCGCTGACTTTCAAGCTCGGCTCGTTCTCAAGTGCTTCCATTATGAGCGGGTCTTATCTGTACATATCTGTACATATCGAGATTTGGGAACAAAATTTGGACCTTCGACTTCAAACACAACATCATGGTCCCACGTGGCAGTGTTTCGCGTTTGGCAAGCTCACTAAAGCAAAGCAACCCCAATTTCTCCACGACCATACTGTGACATGTGGTTGATTATGGGTTTACTTTTACACCACATTCAAAATATAATACATTTAAAGGCTACATTCTCACATGATTACTCTAAGTGAGGTATCATTCGATACTATTAAAAAGCCTTGAGGAGCAAAAATTAGCAAACTGCCAGTTCCTATCTTAGTGCAGCACGAGTATCTTTCTGCGACATCATCTTTCAACGCTGCAGCATGCATAGCCGTTCTCTCGCAACATAGTTATATCAGAAACTTGCAGATTCATTTAGTTCAATAATGAAGACCCTAGGATACCTGAATCGATGTTGCAGCTATGACAGAAAGGACAAGTCTCCTTTTTGACGTCGTATTCGACGTTTTTGATGATTTCGAATTCCATCGATGGAGTGACCTGCCAGTGGAAATTAAGCTTCACATCTTGAAATATCTTACCTTTCCGACGCTGAGATGCTTTATGTTTTTGAGCAGGGAATGCTACGATCTCGTGTGCAAAGTAAAACCAACAGTTGACTTACGTCTTGGAGATGTGGCGTATCTAGCTTCTACGAAACAGGTGTATTTGTCTAGATTGAATATAGTATATAGTTGCTTTGACAGAATGAGAAAGACGTGAATTGATAAGGGGTCAAGAATTCAAGGTTTTTGAAGCCAACGCTCGGATGTCGCGATGGTATGGAATTACACATATACTGGCGCAAGCCTGAATCAGGCCCGAAATCCGCTCATGATTATGCATTGATATTTGTCAAGGACGGTCAAGAAGGATGTTCTGTAAAGAGGTACGAGATATTGTTTTCACGTCGTCGCTTATTATGCAAATCGTTGCAGGATGATAAAGAAGAAACGAAAATATCTTGAGCTACCAGGCACGAGTTACAGCTCGGATATCCTCACTGCTGCAATAGAATCTATGTTTGGGCTTTCTAAAGTCTTGGATATTCGAGTATTGACCCTATCAATGGTTGGTCCAGCCATATGCGTTTCTGACAGGATCTGAATTCTTTCAGTATTCACCAAATTCACGGTTGGAAGCTCTTTTAGCCGAGCAACCATCTTCACAACAAATAGCGAGAAAAGAGTTCACCTTGGACTTTGAAGGCGAACCCTCAATCACGAATCACTTCTTGAGATTTCTGAAACCTGGGTGTGGAATAATCGTCTTGAAAGATACATCTACATCGGAAGTTATTGAAGAGCCTGAGTTATTCAATCACAATATTGTAAGAATTTCGCAAAAAAGCTCACTTCACAAACTCGCTTTTTAGTTTCGGTGCGCCCGTAAGATCACACTTTTCGGTTGGAAAGCGGGAATGACAGATGAACAGCTTGTTCAACTTGCAGCAGATAATATTTATATCACTGCACCTCATATCACATCTCGAGCTATCAACAAGCTTGTTCGAGTGAGGAATCTATACTAAAAAACTGCAGGAAATTGTGAGATTGAATTTGACATCCAGAAAGATAGCTTGCAAAATGTTTCTCGATTGTTTTTCGTTAACCTAGTCATCAGTTTGAATTTGGAAATCTCCTTAAGCAATGCGATTGGCAGAAACATGCCTTTTCAAGGTAATTCACTCTAATTTGGACGAGCAGAACAGTTTCCGGCAAGGTTGGAGAGAGTCACTGCAAGACTTTTTGTGGCCGTACTTATCAACGAACCCTGAGGGTAAACCTTACCAAAGGTAAGTTTTACCTCGGGGTTCATTGGACGTATTCATCAACGAACCCTTGAGTGGAGGGTAAGGTTTACTCCGGAAAACGATTAACCCGTATCGATCAACGAACTCTGAGAGTAAACCTAACCCTGTGAGGGTTAATCTTACCCTTGAGGGTAAACTTTACTCCACAATTAGCTCATATTCACGAACGTGGTTCATCAGGGTTTAACCCTGGCACAGAGCAAGATAAGATTCACTCTGACACTTCTACAAACATCAAAAGTGATCTCTCGCTGCACTACTCGGTCCAGCGTTCTGTTTTGACAATAAACACGTATTTATGATTACTATTAGGTTGTTACACAAGTCTTGTTACACTTCAACTTCTTACGGCGATAAGTCATGCACCTCATATTCTTGGCAAGGCTACAGGATACCATTCGGTAGAGCGAAGCAAGCTCTACAGGACACTATGCAAATGTTCGCACCAACTTCGACCCACTATAAGTTTGCGCCCAAAATCTGAGTCGTACTGAAGACTCAAGAAACGCGAAAAATTCATGTCTTCGCTTAAGAAACTTCTATAAATCTCCAAGTTGCTCATAAAAATTGCACACTACATTAGACACTCATATGTACCATGAATTTTTCCTCATCTAGAAATCGAGAAAACGAAAATTTTCTTGTTTTTACTAAAAGAAAGCTATGCTGTTTCTATTTATGTACCTGTGTACTACAAGCCCTTAGAAGTATGCCCGTAAATTTTCAACTTTCCAGAAGCACTAGTTTTCGAAAAATAAAGAATTTAGCTTCTTTCACTTGGGTAATCAATGCTAAATTGAGGAATTTTCGAAAACTAGGACTTCTGGAAAGCCGGAAATTTACGGTTACACTTCCAAGGGTTTATAGTATACAGCTACATAAGTAGAAACAGCATAGCTTTATTTTTGTAACAACAAGAAAATTTTTATTTTCTCGATTTCTAGATGAGGGAAAAATACAGGAACGGTACATATGAGTGTCTGATATAATGTGCAATTTTTATGAGCAAGTTGGAGATTTGTAGGATTCTCTTGAATAAGGATATGAATTTCTTGAGCCTTCAGCACGACTCAGATTTTGGATACAAACTCATGATGGATCGAAGTTGATGCGAACTTTCGCATATATTCTTGTAGAGCTTGCTTTGCTCTATCGAATGGTACCCTGAAGCATTGACCCTTAAAAGAGTAGCACACGGTATAAAAGGTATAAAATGAACTGAGCAAAAGCAGTACTTACACGGCACAGTTGCACACATGAAAATAACACGCTGTAAGACTGGATGCTGCACAATATGCTAGAGATGTATTATAAAAACTAGTGTTAAAAGCTTATTCGTTGATTATACTACTATAACAGTGAAAGAATAGAAGTATAAAGTGAATTTAGCACGTACTTAGGCATTCTGTGATGTGAGTTTGCACAGCGCACGCGTAACTGGCGCGTTAACCCTCCAGGGTTAGTTTAACCACCAGGGTTCGTTGATGAATACGGCCACAGGTTCGTTGATCGATACGGGTGGATCCCGTTCCGTAGTAAACCCTACCCTATGTTGATGAATACGGTCAATGAACCGTGAGGGTTGAACTTACCCTCCAGGGTTAGTTTAACTCACAGGGTTCGTTGATGAATACGGCCACAGGGTATTAACCCTCAGGGTTCGTTGATGAACGGCCATTGATCTCAACTATGACGCAATGCGTCCTACACTTTGATTAGTGAAGGATCTTAAGTCGAGTGGCGAACTGGAGTAAAATGCAAATTATTGGGAGTCTTGATGAGCTTCGAGTGAGGTAACTATACAAAAAAAACATTTCCGAATTTAACTCTCATATCAGCTGAGCGTTCCTTGAAAGAAGTTGTGAGCGTTTGAAAATCAAATTATATACCATCAGTGCCTCACCTTCATATACTTGTTTAAACCACTCAAATATGTATTTTCCACGTACTCTCTTCTTTAAACCTGGGCATGTTGTATCGGATATCGTGTATTGTTCTTCTGCCAACCAGGTTTTGTGGTGATAGTATCTGTTAGTCTATACGAAAACGCCTCATCAGGCTTCCGTCGTTTGAACCTTGTCGAGGCGCAACCCATTTCGAATTGTTTCTCGACGTCGTCGAGAAACAATTCGAAATGGGTTCACCAACCTCTAATCCATCCTGGAGTCAGTCCGCACGGAGGTGACGGACATCACTGAGGCTGCTCAGTGAGTCAAGGACTATATATACTGCGCGGTTTGAGATCACATAATCACATAAGAGGCAAGAGATCAGTCGTTATCGTCACGCGCTCATTTTTTGTTGTTCACGCCCGGATTTCCGCGTAGATCAACGCGGCCTGTAACATTTTTCGTGCTGAAATCTTGACCTCCTGCGCTAAAAATTACACTTCACGCTAAAATCGCCACCATCGTATGCCTCAATCACCGTTGGGCAAACATAAGATTGGGGCACACGGTGACGATTTTAGCGTGAAGTGTACACTTTTAGCGCACGAGGTCAAGATTTCAGCACGAAAAATGCTACAGACCGCGTTGATCTACGCGGAAATCCGGGCGTGAACAATAAAAATGAGAGCGTGACGATAACGACCGATCTCTTGCCTCTTATGTCATTATGTGATCTCAAACCGCACAGTATATATAGTCTTTGACTCACTGAGCAGCCTCAGTAATGTCCGTCACATTCGTGCGGTCTACTGACTCCAAGGTGGATTAGAGGTTGGTGAATCCATTTTGGATTGTTTCTCGGCACGTTGCGCCCAGACGAAGTTTAAACGACGGAAATCTGATGAAGCGTTTGTTCGTGTAGACTAACTGATAATATCATCGCAATTCCTTTTCAGACCTCCGAAGAAGACGATATTCGTCGAAACGTAAGGTCAGTAAAGATCCACCACAAAATCTCGTTGGCAGAAGAATGATACATACTCAGATATGTTTTCGGTGTATTTGTGCATTCCTTGTAGTCAGTACATTGAATACCATGCCAATTATGCACACGCAAGCTGGATTACAAGGCACGTTTTGCATTAGAAGCCTAAGAACTTCACTGACCGCTCATAGCTTCTTTTAGGGAACAGCTCTGCAGATACGAAAGTCAGATTGGAATCAGTTCATCAAGAAAAAGTTTATAAACATACTCTCGATACATGGACCCATGACTCTGGTAACCCTCACTTTGAGCGCCATGATAGAACACAACCTTTGCCTAAAAAAAACAAAAAGCCATCCGGGGAGAAGCCCCGAATGTTATAAATTTGATTATATCGCAATGAATGTGAATGAAGCAAAAATAGGGAATATTATCTTTAGACCATCTCAGCGAAACCGAGAATCTGCGTTTTCATGGCCTTTTTTACGCTAAGTAGAAGGTTTCTGTGAACATTTCTCCGGAATTCAGGACGACATTTCCCACCTTAACCTCTTATTTGACTGAAATTGAGTTTCAGAAGTTTTTAGGGAAGTTGTTGGAGTTGAATAAAAATGCGAAAATTCGCTTAAATCTCGCGCAGAGACTTGCGTACGAAAATGCTGGTTCATTTCGTAAATGAGTGTTTGCAACGCCTGGGACGTTGTCAGTGCTCGTCATCGTGTCATGACGATCAGAATGATGTATAATGTTGCAGAGTTTCGTTGAGACCCCGAGGATCTACGACCACAGCTAAATGCCCCTCGTCTGCGTATCCGCTCGCTGCACGCTACCTCGCCATCCCAATCGCGGAGCGCAGGGCATTTGGCTCTGGTATTATTTTCTTCGTTGTTTCGAATCCAACTTCAACAAGCTATATATCATATATTGAAGAACTTGTTCTCTACTTTCGCGCTGACAACGTCTTAAGACCACATTTTTTGATTTGAACGAGAAATCCAGCAAAGACCTTGTTTTCGACATCTCTTATTCTTCCCCGTTAAGTTTAACTCTTTTACGCGTCTTTTTCGTCACTCTATAGATCTTGCATCTGTTCATAAGGACAACGGTCCAGTGGTTATCTCTTCGACTGAAGCGGATTTTCTGTGAAAAATCGTAAAAAAGTGCGTTTTTCTTTACCTTGTTCTGTTTCAGTGCTTTCGCAGCTATTTTCATTCAGCTTAGACAATAATCGCTCAGAATAATGAGCGCAACAATTTAGACCACGTCCCAGAGAACGGGAACTACAATGCAGGGGTAAAAATTCAAAGGACGCAAAAACTAGGTTGGCTTTGACCCGCACTTCGACTTGCTAAGAACAAAACTGAGTTTTTAAATCTGACTTTTCTTGTTTATCTTCTCTCAATAATCGTTGCTTCCAAAACATGGTTGTTTTTGGAATAAACATAAGCTTTTCCTTGTTTTCCACCGTGTTGTGGATTACTTGGTGGAGCGAAAACCTGTAATGCTGCAAATGAAAGATTTCAAACTTAACTTAACTTGCAGCGTCTTTGTCCGATTTTCAAGAATTTCTTTTGCTTTAACTGACTGTTTTCCATCTTCTTTTCTTCTCTGGTTTTATATAGACAACTATCAGTTTTTATGAAGGGCAGATAATCAAACAACCTTCACTTTTGAGGCCCTATCTCTGGACTATCGAAGGTATGTTCATAAGGATTTTAACCTAGTCGCCACACTTGAGATCTTTTACAAGTGAGAGGAAAAGAATGGTCGATCCCCCCAAGGTGTAGGCGTAACTACAGAACCTCCAAGAGCCTTAAAACTTGAGAGTTGTGAATTTGCGTTCCCAAGGATGTCCACTTGCACATGGCACTATAATTTTTGATGACCTCTAACCTTGACTTTGCCTTTGAGCACGTTTCAAAAAACTATGTTGATATGGTTAGAAATTCTTTCTCTTAAGGAATGGCTGGAAGGAAAACGCACAATCAACTCCATAGATCTGGCAGAGGTGCAGATAAACATGACACTTATTCTGCAAAATCTCGATCCAAATGCGATCATGCAGTTCAAAGACTTTCTCAAACTGTAAGTTTTTGGCCACTGTAGTTGCGAATGAGAGGAAAGGATACCAGTCATAGCTATGATCAGGATGGTTGACGGATCGGATCAAAACGGTCCTGAAAAAAGCAAAATCTCCTTAGAGATGCGATCCCAGATCAAAGACTAACCGCGCGAAGAATCTGTCACACACGACGTTCGCAGCGCTGCGCCTATTTACAATAGCCTACTGTTTGCCACTCCTCCACCGGAATAAATTAAGCTGGCGCAAGATCAGAGTAAAACAATGGTCATTGTTGGACAATTGTTGTGTCTTTACAATGATATTCTTCTATCGAAAAGAGATCGATTGTAGGAAGCAGGAGACCGTAATAAACTGGGTGATGCACCTTGTGCCGCACCGGTCCGAAGCGACTCAAATTCTACATCGAGAAACGAATCGACCATCGCATTACGATGATAGTAATTGATGTGCACACATACATGCAACCGTTTTGTATGCACAAAAACATTTCTTTTAACAAAAAAGACAGAAAAAATTGTTAATCAATTGTTGAAGGCAGTGTTTCATAATCCCGGAATTTGTGCATATTATAAGCCTATCCGATCCCGTGTACTTTACGGGAGAATCCGCATGAAAATTACGAAAACTCTTCAGCTATGACACTTTCCTTGAACCACCAACGGCTACTTTGCTAACTTGCTTAGACATATTTGCGATTTCCTGATTCTATAATACACGCTGGGCTGCTTAGGGCTCATCAATTTTACGCATAAAAAGTGTTCCACTAATTCTGTAGGTTGCTCATGAGCCGCTGAAACTGTGGGTGCGAAGTTGGGATATGGTTGACCTTGTTTGCTGTGGCAAGTGCAAAGGCAGTGTCTGAACAAGAAGTCGATTTGAGTTTTGTGCTTACATGGGCCTATTCGCTACGCTGAATCCAAAGTATTGAAGAACTCATAAACAGTGAATAGGGCTCTAACGCAAAAGGGGAGCAACAGATGGGAGGGCTTTCATTCTGTGAAGTCATTACTCTTCCTCAGGATCGATCTCGGTTCCGATTTATACATCACGCGTTCGCACTTGGCAGGTTGCGATGTAGGGCGGCTAACGGAAGCGAGAAGGTCGCTCCTGAACTGAAAGAGTGACTTCACAGGGAGGACTCGCCCGCCTGCCAATTCTCCTTTCCTGCATTAGAGCTCCTTCTCGTCGTTTTCGCGCTCTCCATGTAGGTTCTCGGATTTAGCATAGCAAGTAGGTCCAGGTTAGCATAAAAGCTTGAAATCAATCTTGTCAAGACACTGCCCTTAGGTACTAATTGCATTTCGAAGGATAGGTACAGTCTGCTTCAATCGGGATCAGGCCGAACCGTCAGCGTAAATTTGCGCGCTCACAACGCTAGCGGCCTGCGCTGCATATGCGCGCCGTCGCAGAGAGCAAAAGGACTGAAGAGAGAGCAGAGAAGCAAGCCGTGGGCGTGACCGCGAAACCCTAGCGACGCGGACTCCCGCCATGCCAATTTTGGCCTGGTTGGGATTGGGGCAGACTGTATACGTTTTGCATGACGAAGGGGCAATATCGTTGGTCGCGAACGCGGCTTCATTAGCCGCAGAGCGCATGATACGCGGGATTTACAACGGTGAGGATACGCGCGCCGCCTTCGCGCCCTCTCAACTAATACTGCTTCTGCGCCCTCTTCATGCAGTAGCCTTCGAATTCACAGACTACCTTATTCAGCATTGTTCAGCATGAGCGCATGGTGCAAACTAAAAACTAGAATTCTGTAGCAGACATGCCAAATATTATGCCCTTTGATTCAACGGAATTGGCGGCTGGAGTTAGAGGAGTTAGAAGATGGTCAGAGAGCACGCTTGCGAGAGAGGCGCAGAATGCGTCGCGGGCGCGAGCGGTCGCCTTCCAGCCGCCAATCTCGTTGAATCAAGCGGTAATGGATGGGGAAAGCGAAGAAAAACGAGGCAAGTCGATCTTGATCACTCTCCATAGGTAAATTTTACGCTTTAGTCCGACTTCCGCCAGCCACATGCGTAGCCTCATCCAAAGGTACCCGCGATTGATGCAGGGTAAAGCAGCCCACACATATGTCCTTACATCAAATTAGCACGAATGGTTACAATTGCTACAATTTTTAACGTTGTTCCTTGTCTTAAGTTTTTCTAACTCTTGTTTCAGTGCTATCTCTACTACATTGTCTGCCAAATGCCTTATTTTTAGAACATCCTACAGCGGGATCCGGATAGGAGTAGAGTCCACCGCTCCTGTAATCAGAAGTCCAAGAGGCTTTCTAATGGTACTGACGGAAGCGAACAATTGTCTATTAACAGATCCCTATTTTGACAACTAGAATGAAAACCATCTATCCATAATCTGCAAACAAGTGAACGATGAAGTAAGAGATGAGCAATAAAGCCGTATGGTAAAGAAACGCTGGGTTGTAACAGATAGAACTGAGAGCTTCAGCTCACAAACCTGACGAACCAACCACTTTTCTCAAGGTTATTCATCACAAAGTCATCCGCTGCATGACTTATATGGAGTTTACTCTGAAATACGAACTCTGTCAGCTCTCACAAATATGATGTTTGACGTAATATATGATAGCTTATAGGAACTTTATGCAGTGGTTATCAGACACGTGCTCATATACCTGTAAGGGACGATATGCAAGATATTTTCATAGGCTATAACTAATGAATGCCAAAGAAAAGAATTGAGGTGTGCCATTTTGGGTTTCGTTGAGATTCAAAATCTCTAAGTAAGTATTAGGTTTAATGCATGTTCCTTATCCTGAGGCGGTAGAGGAAATATGAAAACGTTTTGATTATATCATTCGTTTAAGCAAAGCAAGCTCTACAAGATATTACTTGAAATAGCAGAAGGTTCGATCCATGTGAAGTTTGCGGAGAAAACTTTACAAGTTTTTGAACAACCATCAGATTTCTGTCTAAGTGCGAAGACCAAACTTGGACAAGCATCTACTATGCACATAAGGTACTCAAGTGTACGTAAGCCGCGTTTTTTGTGACTGGAAAGTGAAGAATAAAAATAAGACAAAAGTTTAATATTTTTTGTTTTTAATGTTAGATTTGATATAAAACACCGCTCATAATTCGTCAAAAAAGTCGCCGGACTGCGGCGCACTCCGCCAGAGTGCGCTGCAGTGCGCCGGAGTGCGACGCAGCCCACTAGAGTGCAGCGGAGTGCGCCGCACATCACTAAAGGCCGAAATCCGGGTCGTATCGCCATATCTCGCCTCGGAATGGACGAAATCTAAACCCGAGTATACCGCTCGATTCAGCGCATCATGCGTTATGCAGAGGTGCAACAGCCTGTCGATGTATTGCGGGTATACGGTAGGCAGTAAGTTTTCGATCAGTTTTAAACATTTTTGTTCGGTTAAATTAGCTAGTGTGCTGATCATCGCCATTGATTTGCTACTGATGGCACATCGTACGAATACTGTTGGAGTATAATAAAGAGTCACTTTAAACTTTGATCGATTTGTTCTAAGTCCAGCTCAGGGTATTTCCGATGCTGTTGCGTTAATTGAATTCAGTGATGCTCAAGCACAGTACGCAGGGATCTGCATGTAAGGTCACTATGATTGCGTTCGAAACGTTGCTTATTGTTGCTTTCACGTGTTGCTCGTTCTAAACAGAAAGATCGCATGACGCACTGGCCATCTGAAACGAAAAGGTGTCATAAATGCGCCTTGGTGAGCTGATTCCTATTCTACTTTCCTTATTTGCTGAACTGCTCTCTAGTAGAAGTTATAGGCGTATCCAAACTTCGCAAACAATCAGTGTCACACCAACAATTAGCGGTACAAGGACCCTTCATCATGTATCTAATAAAGTTTCTGCCCTTTGCAGTGAGTACACGCAACATCATGCTCATTATGGTCTTTCGAATTGGTCTAAAAAGTATTATGAGATGTAGCTCAATAACTCTATACTTTCAACCGCTCATAACTTCTCTCAGAGTCTTCTCGTGCAGTTAGGAAGGGTAGATATCCTTATCACGACGCTTTGGATATGCATTTTACCAAGATTGACAGTTGTGATCCTAAAGTCATTCCTGCTCTATAGTAGCTAATAATCATTATGACGTCATGCCGTAAAGCACAATTAATGTCTACTTAGCGCTTACATGGTATACTTGTGTATAGTAAACATAACATTTTCGTGGGCAAGTGTTTTCACCATAACATATCGCAGCGCACATTGCAGCTAAAAAATTTAATCAAGTATTTCTCAGTAGAGCTGTGTCCTTTTAACATCCACGATAGAAAATCACTTGAATGCCTTTCTTCAAAGCCGAGGGAAAGAGTGGTGAATTCCCGGAATTGCAAGGTCTAGAACACCAATCTACCGTAAGTCTACAACAGCACCTTAGAAAGCGAATTTTGCATTAGTACTGTAATCTGCATGCCATATTGCTCAGCTGAGTTTCGTGTTCATCTGAGTTCTTCACTTCCGTTCAGCGGACGAGCTTATGTAAGTTCGCAACTCAATGCTTTCTGTTGATGGGGGGGGGGGCTCCGGTAGGCAACAAGCGATAGAGCAGTCTCCCTAGTTTCTAGCTGCAGACGGAAAGCCAGAAAGTCTTTTGCCTGAGGGAGTAAATGGCTAGCAAACTTTGAAAAAATCCATGCTCACTTTAAAACTGCCTACCGTAGCCCTACAGTAAGAAGCTGATATGATTTTCATGATCAGCGAACGGGTAACCACTTGAGCAAGCTTTCTGAGCAAATCGGGACATTTGATTTTTTCTCGTTTCTCGCTCTTGAGCTCGCCGCAAGTTTTAAATATTAATGTTCTTGATTCGACCTAAAACTTCGCTCACAAAGGTTTCAGGACCCACTGTTTACGAAAACCTTGGCTATTATTCGGAAGGGTTTCACTGTGAAGTTACAGTAAGCGGGACCTGGGTAAGTCACGCAGGCTCGCAAGTTTGCCTAACCTTTCGCCCATCTGCTAACGAACTTGCCTGCCCATTTTTGGTGGTTAGAGTTTCTTTGAACAGTTCAGTCGAAGCATGCTTTATCTGTGCCTTCATCTGCTTTATACCCCGGATTATGAGCTTACGAATTCACGTTCTCATGAATTTTGCCCCGAATCTAAAAATCGCTATTTTGGCGAAATCTGTTA